TGTAATAGTACCCTGACTCGGCTACTGACACGGACTCCCGACTCTGATTCAACCAATCACAGCAAAGCACCGGCCGACCCTGACTGCCGACTCGGGAATAGACGCCACTCTAATTGGTGGAATCATAGTCGGGAGTCTGAGGCATTGGTCGAGTCAGAGTCGGGAGTCTGTAGTCTGATACGGGCTTAACGTAAATAAAAGTCGGAGCGTAAGGCAAGTGTAAGTAGAGACTGACAGAAGAGCAAATGAAACTCCTAGAAAGCGTAAATAGAAACGGCGGAACTTCTTGAAGTGCTTCTTTTACATTCCGAATTCAATTTACGCGTCTTAGAAGTTTCATTTGAACCTCGTCATTCTGTGCTTACATTTTGCTTACGCCCCGAACTTAATTTTCGCCAGGGATTTGACATCGATCGGTCATTTCTCGCTGGAAAGTCACGATCGACTTCTTAAGGAACGAGAGAAAAGATTAGAAACATCTCTTACTTTTGACACTGAAGAGCTGTCAGCTGATAAGATTTGCGTCATACAAAAATTCTACGGTTCATACGGGGTGTCTCATTTTAAATAATCACAATAATTTGAAAACACTTGTGACCGGGAACATGTCGTAAACAACTCCACGTTTAAATTTATATCTCACGAATAATTCAATGAATGTTTTAAAACTCAAATAAAACGCTGACTCAACATTTAAACAAATTTCTTCTAAATTTTCGCCAGGGCTGGGGGGCAACACGCGAAAACAATGTCGTGCGGTTGGCTGAAAAGAAATTTGACAAACGCAGGTGCAGACAAACGCGGCGCCCTGCGTACGGCCGTGCCCCAGGCCGGGTCACGTGGCCGTCAATGGCACTTCTCGCGCGTGCGCACCGGGAGCGCTCCGTCTCGTTTGTTTGTCCGGCGCGGTTTCGGAATTATCGCCTCGCTCGCGGCTCGCCGCGCTGCGGCCAGTTAGTTTCGAGAGGCGAGACGATGAGGCTCGCCGACGCTCGCACGACCACGATTCGATGTCGCAACGACCAAGCCGCCTTCCGCACAGCGCTTTTTACCCCTTGGCGACAGGAGTCAGCCGGAGCGCGTTTCGCTCTCGCGTTGCAGCAAGCGGCGTAAAGCGGAGTAGTACTGCGCCTTCCAACGCAGGACTGGGTGTCCAGCGCGAAGAGAAAGAAAAGAAAGCGAAACGACAACGGCGAAACGAGGGTGGAGAGCGGGAAGAAGGGGTTGACCGGGCGAAAGGGCCGGTTCGGAGGGCGAGCAACGAACGCGGAAAGACGCCGAGGAGGCTCGACCTTACGACTCGAAAGTGAATCGAGAGAATCGAAGACAGGCTCGACAGGGCCGCGGAGCGTAACGACGAGGGGCGGGATACTATCGGCCGTGGGAGAATTTCGCGACGGAACGCGACTGGGGAGGAAGACGCGCGTAACAGCGGGCGAGGAGGTGCAAGTATCCGCGGCGAAGTAGACACGGGGAAAGTTCGGAGCGCGTGGCACTTCGAGGGACGCGGCAAGCGTCTCGCTGATCACTGTTTACTCTCCCGGCCCGAGGGGGGAGTAGCGCTCCCCCCTGGCGACCCTCCGCGGCAAGGGCCGAAGATGTGGTGCTCCCCGCGCGAGAGCGTCCAGACGAGCGAGCGCGCTCATGGGGTCGGGAAGGGACGGGGGGACGACGAGTTCGCGGCGACGAGTAACGTCGATTCCGGATTCCTGTCGGCCGGCAGCATGCAGGACAGCGGCGAGGTCCGCGACTGCGGGGCGCCGCGGCCGCAGCGAGAGGAGGACGACCGGCGGATGAGGGACGAGAGCCGGCGGGCCGCGCCGGGGGCGACGACCTCGCGAGCGTCGCCGGTCGCGGGGTCGCAGCCAGCGCGGCTCGTCGACAGCGGCGTCGTGGACGTCGACCTCAGCGAGGGCCTGAACCAGCTCGCCCTGAGGCAGCGGCGACCCGGCCCGGCTTTGCCCGCCGCGGCACCGGGAAACGACCCTCCGCTCGAGCCGCACCGGCAGGACGGTGTCAACAAGCTCGCGAACACCTGGCGGCTCTACGAGCAGGACAAGGAGGGCGACACGTGAGTTGGACGTTTTCACAATTTGCGACGCGATAATGCAATCAGACTCAATTCACGCGTCCGGACAGATCGCCCTTGGCGCGTTTGTGATCTTCCCCCCCCCCCCATGTTTCTACCGTTGGTATTTTACATTTGATCGGTAGTAGACGTTTAGAATGTAGCAAGTTCTCATCCGATCACTTGAACTTGCAGCGAATGCGGTTGCTTGCACTGATGCGCACTGGAAATGCACACGAAGGCTTGTTTACAGTCAATTTTTATATTTCAGAGTCATCTTAAATATTCCTTGAAATATTTCGTAGCCGGTAAAATGACCTGTGTAGCAGCCACACGGATAATGTTTTGGCTAAATACTCTTCGAATGTATTTAAGACAAAGTTAAATATAAAAATAACAGTGTGCACTCAGCGCAAGAATTCGAATTTGCTATTAGGAAATTGTGTGGAGTCTCCTTCATGCAGGCTGTACGTAAATTATTTTGTTATAGTAGGATATTATTAATCCTGGAGCGAAGGGTATAAATTAAGGCTTCCCAATCCACGGGTTCGAGTAAAGCTTTCCGGCCTGACAATTTCGATGTTCCCTATCTAAAAAAGGCATTGCGAGTTCATTGTTGTCGCTTTTCCACGATGCCGATTGGCTCTCTCGAAACTCGATCGAGTGTCGATCTTGTTGCGAGTCGTTCTCTTCGACTCGCGGTTTTGACAGTTTGTATTTAAGAGGATTATTTTGATAGTTTATGTTTCGATCTCGTTGCGAGTCGTTCACTTCGACTTGCGGTTTCGACAGTTTGTATTTAAGAGGGTTATTTTGACAGTTTATGTAATATAATGTGGAAGAACAATGGCGCGCGCGAAGCGCGCGCTTGTGTTGTTCTAGTATAATATAAAAGAAATGATATGTAGTTTTTTAAAAACGACCTGCACTGCGCCAATGTTTTTATTTAAAAAACTACATATCATTGGTTTTATACTCCTGGCGATATTAAATCTATTTGCGAATATAAATGAATGTAAATATCTTTCTGAAAGCTTGTTTAATATCTTAATTAAGGTAGTTCTTTCCTAACTATATTAGTTAAAATGAGACTCGATTAATGAAGTTAATAGACACTGGATTGTTTTATACTAAATTCAAGAACAGATTTTTAAACGCTATCGCTTCTCTTAGAATGTTAAAAGTCGATAAAATAAAAAAGAGTTACGGAAAGTGACATAGCTTAGCAGAGCGTTGATCGTGGCAGCATCACATTTCATCGTGAATGCGATCAATTGTGAGAAGATATTTTAATTATCGTAATGGAAAAGCGTTCTTATAAAAAAGAAAGTGTCAGAGCAGAAGCGAAAACGCAAGAAACACTGAAAACCAAAAAACAAAGAGAATAGCATAACTTACGTTGTCACATCCGCAAAGCATTGCCGTGCACGAAAAAGTTGACCTAGCCAAATTTTTCTTTGGATTTATCATACTCTGATACCGTACGGTCAGCGTCGTTGAAATTTAAACACGCACTTCTTTAAACATTCGACTACTTTTGCTCGATTTTTTGTTTCAATCCTTGTTATAGATTTCTTGCTACTGACAAATACATGTCCAAGTGTCCGATTTTCTGCCTTGGCAGCCAATGGCGATAAGCGAAATGTTAAAAACAGTTAATTTTATGTGATTATATCTCGGAAACTATACGGTAAATCAAACCCAAATTTTACACACATACGTATTGGTGTCTAAATTAGTTTTTGCTGCGAGTTTAAAGAAAATCTGTAACTTCGTCATTTTTTACCTAACTACCTTAAATTGATTATATCAATTTCGTTACGCGTGTACTATCTCGGCCTCGGCTTGAGATTTGTATTTCACGTTTCGGCGCACACAGTTTGCTGAGCTGGCAGAAACGTATACTTACGTACAAATATTAAGCACGGAGAGCCAGCCCTGTATAAGCACATTTACTTGTGTTATTATTGAAAATATTTTGCTTTCGTGTGATTTTAAAAAATGAAGCTTGTGCGGTCCGCCGACCATTGTAGAAATTTCAACGTGTTCCTCTTTACAAAATAGGTTGGGGACATGTCAGCTGATGTTCTTCAAGTGTCTAATGTCGGCAGAAGTGCCTGGAATAATAGAGAGCTAGGTCAAGTAAATATACGCAGCCTCTGTGTTTATCGACGAGGATAGAAACGACGACATTTGAGATAGACGACAGTTTCCAGCGACGTGTAAATCGCTGAGTAACTTTGATATTGCGATTATCGCCATTATGCATAGAGATCGAGTCTTAGAGGCTATTTGCGAGATCAGAAATAGATCAGCCGTTGAAAAATCATGCATTACCGGCGAGATCTTGTATAAATAATTTATGACATAATTTCATTCAATCGAAATTCATTTGCACGCTCGGAAAGACCTCAGCTCGCCCCTGGTGCACCCCCGATTAATTTCTCCCGTATTTTTGGCCGCTAATATTTCACATTTGATCACGAGAACAGTGGTAAAAACACGGTTCAATTACCAAAAATTGTGGATATAGCAGAAGACTCGCGTAGCAAAACGCAATTCTCCTTCGATCTTCTTCGATCACCTAAAAAGACGTACAGAATTGAGGATATCTAATTCAATTTTTGTAATAGAAGGAAATCCATACTTCGTCCAAATTTATTACGTGCGCGAGATTTTTTTTAGGTTTCCGCGTACTTGAAAAAAAAACTGCGGAGAGAAAAAGGGAGAAAAACAACTCGTTTCACTTGATCTCTATCGTGTGAATAAACTGACCGACGAGTTCAACTAATCATCTTGCTTAATTATCTCGCGTGCAGCCTCTCCTTTTTTTACGGGACCGGCATATCATGTATTCAGAAGTTTCTTACAAAACTATGCATTGATTGCAATTACGTCAATGTTACGCATACCGATGCTCGCGCATCGGTATGCGTAACATTGACGTAAATCTAATGACTTAGATATTTACGTCAATATATACATATATATATTTTTAAGATATGACGACATTTGGCGAGGCTCGTTGACCGACTCGATTAAACTAGGTTCAATTAAAGCGAGTTTAGCGAATCAACAAATTAGAACGACACGCGGGAATTTCATAAAAGATGTTACGTCGACGGAAATTTTTAACGCCATATAATTATTACATTGGCGGAAAAGAAAAAAAATCGTACTTTCTTGAATTATATATAATAAGAGTTATAATAATAAATCTCTATCTAGGAAACAGTGGGGAATGGGACATGTATTTATATTAGCATTTTTGCTTAAAATGACCGATACTATCGCCTCTCAGAATATTGACCTTTCCTCCTGGAATACCCCGATTAAATTAGGTTCAATTAAAGGGAATTTAGCGAATCAACAAATTCGACCGATAAGCGGGAATTTCATAAAAGAGATTTAACGTCGTTGGAAATTTTTAACGCCGCACAATTATTACATCGACGGAAAAGAAAAGAAAATTGTACTTTCCTGAATTAAGAGTAAGTTAAAACAAATAAGACTAAGACGCCCGCCGTGCCTCAAGTCAGCTGACTAATACCGGCAGCTCATTCTCACGCAACGCATTCGTTATCACAGACAATTGCACATCGCGATCATGCAGAGCTACGTGGAGGCTGCGCTCGTTTTGATAAGGCTGGCGCCTGATCCATTACTGTTGGACACCTGCAACGATGTCCATCAATCGCCTTTATATCTGGCGGTGCTGATGAGCCAGTCGCTCATCGTCAGACGGCTGATTCTGGCGGGCGCGGATCCGTCTGTCAGGAATATCCGCGGGGACACGGCCCTCCATCTGGCCTGCAACAGAGGAGATCTCGCATGCGCCAAGGCCCTCACGGACCCGCTGTCGCCGATGGAGAGGAACCAGTTGATGCCCGGACAGACGGTACCGGCCTTACCTCAGAACTTGGAGCAACGTAACTACAACGGTACGTGACTGGGGGAAATCTTATAAGTCGCCAGGAGTGATTAAAGACTTCAGAAGATTACTCGACCATGTCTGGCAAGTTTTAATGCTTAAACTCACAACGTTTCGACCGTGGCTTGTGGCCCTTCTCAAGCGATCTAACAAAGAAATTACAAGCAGTTTTGATAAAGAGTTGACATCTACCTATGTAATATATAGGTCTTATATTAGCCACGACAATTGTCTCCCACTTTTGTAAATCTTTCCTACATTGATATCGCCAATCTTACGTTACTTCTCAATCTTTATACTTCTGACTTTAATTTGTGTATCAACTCTTTGTCAAAACTGCCTGTAATTTCTTTGTTAGGTCACTTGAGAAGTACCACAAACCGTGGTCGATACGTTGTGAGTTTAAACATAAAAATTTGCCAGACATGGTCAAGCGATCTTCTGAAGTTTTTACAACGGCACGTGTTAAACATTAGCCTGTTCCTCGGAACAATCGTTAACTCGCGACGAATAATGGAGACTAGGAACGGCAGGAACGTTTAGACAAAATTGAGAGGGAATTGTCAGGGTGGAACGGCGTTCGCGTTTGATTAAGCGAGCGCAACGAAGGACGCTTCGCCACTTCACTTCAACGGTCCGCGACTTTTCCTGCGGTTACAAGAGCTATTATATTTGGCAGCTTGCAACATAATTGCCGCGAAATCGCCGTAACGTTAAAATGCGAGGAAAAATAATTGACGTCGACGCGTGACGGTAGGCACAAAGGACGCCGCGACGGCAGGAAAATCCTGACTGCTTTTACCGCATAGAACAAGTCATGTGCGAGACTCGCACAGCGAACGATGATACCGCGGCTACGGGGAACCACGTGGCTTTCCTGTCATTTCGTCACTTTCATTTCGAGCACCACGCCCTTTTACGTGCGAGAGAAAAAGACACGTTCAATTGCTTTTGCAAAGGAAAAAAAATAATCCGATTGATAACGCAATTTGAATTTCAAACGCACAACTGTCGTATCGAGCGTTTTTCTCTCAACAATTTCTTTCTTATCAAGTCTGGAAATTCACTTTTCTATTCTTTCCATTGAAATGCGAACGGTTTGTCGATTACAAATAATTTAAGACGAAACGTTCCGCGACGGTAATTGTCGGAGTGACAGAAATGACGCTCTTCGCTTCACGAACTTTTATCCTAATAGAAATTTAATGTCCGACTTTTCAACGTTATAAATTGCAATATTTGTTGCGAGAATTCATTTTGATGGTTTTGTTATTACTCGCGATTGGCGACTAAGTACGCGGTACGTTCTGACAAGTCTCTCAAAGCCACAGCTTTATCGTACTTGTTCACGGAACTTTTAACCGAAGCCGCACTATTGTCGCGCTCTATCTAGATGCGATTCTTTTTGTCATAATAGCGTAGGAATTCCCCGAGAGTAAATACACCAGTACCTCTCGCCGATACATCCGTTATCGAGTCCGCGATCGGAAATGACTGCGTCTTGTTATCACCGTAAATCAATAATCGAGTAACAAAAATACAATCGGCGGCATTTCGCGTCTGCAGTTTGACCGCGTCCAACAATTCCGTCAGGTCTGCGAAATCTGATACCGGGGGAAGAGACGCGCGTGTCGCTAATTATGCAAATTAGACATTTGTGATAAGAAAAAGGAGAAAGAAAAACAGGAGGAAAAACCCGCGGCGTTAGATGTTTTGTGTCACTGCCCTTTCAAACTTTTACGACGAAGCGGCAAATAGAGAGACAGAGAGAGAGAGAAGGGGGGGAGGGGGGGGGAGAAAAAATCGCTCCGATCGGCAGAGATCGTTGCGAAATATTCACCGACTTTTTAAAAGTCTTGGAAATCCCGTCTAGCGTCATCGGCGCGTCCGATTCCGCTGCAAGCTCGTGCGACGCGGATAACGCACCTAGGCACGCATGCACGCACGTGCGAGAAGTGATGCAACCGATCGCTCGTTAATGCCTAAGGAGAACAAAAAGTCAGGATGATGTCAATTTGATGTCATATTGACCAAAATTTGACGTAAATTCGGTCGATACGACATCAAATTGACATCATCCTGACTTTTTGTTCTCCTTGGGCGAATTCGACGCGATCGAATTCGAGGGCGAAACAGCGAGCGTGTCAATAAAATTCTCTCCTCGCTTCTACGTGCATTTCGTTAGATAACTCGCACGTACACATCTAGATGTACAATTAAGGATGATGGAACGAGTCTTAAGTCCTTCTTCCGTGCGGCCGACAGATCGGTTATTCATTAGGAATACGCGTAATTGCGCTCCAAGGTCTGCTTGTTCTTTTTCCCGGTTTTTTTTTCTTCGAGAAATGCGCTTTCAATTTCGCAATTAAATTCAATGCAAATACTAAATTAACTTCCAAAACAGGCGACGGAAGACGAGCGACAAGTTCTGTGACGGGGATTACGTCAGCTGTGAATCGGATAAAATCGTTGTTGTTTTCGCGAAAGTAATTTCGCTGTAATTGATTCCCGATTATACGAACGCGCAACGTCGGTTGCCCGAGAAAAGGGACAATTGCTCGCAGCTCGGTTCACACATAGTTAAGTCAATCTTCGCGAGATTGTTGAGCTAAGCCGACGAAGTGTGCAACTGGGCCACTCTATTATCTACAATTTTTATCTTCGCCGCCGCGGACACTTCGACATCGGCGCGAGGCTCGTCGATAAAAGCGCGCGGGACTTTTCGAAAAAGTAGCTTACAGCGGCGCGAACGAGGGGCTGTTTTGCCACGCACGATGGAATTCGGCGTGGCCCTACGCTCGCGTGCGCGCGTGTTACATCACGCGTGGCGTCGCGACGCCAGCGCGCGGGATCGGGGCGTACGCGCGCGAGAGAGCAGATGTTCTTGATATTTAAAAATACCCGTGGAACTATTTGCATGCTGCTCGATATTCCCGCCTCGTCTCGTTCGGTCGGAAAACCCCACAGTGGCGTCGACGTCAGCGGGCCTTCGTCGAACTTCCGCCCTTAAAAAGTCAATTCATCCCGCGCCGTGATTAGCCCGAGTCACGCAACAGTGGTATCGAACCCCGAGTTTCTCACGTAAATTTAGACAAACAAGAATTCGACCAAGTTGCCGCGCGTGCTGTCTAAACTCTCCGAAAGTACGTTCTGCGATTTAAACTATCTCCTTGGCGCAGCCTCGTTGGCGCCGACAACCTTATTTGGAAAGCAGGCAATTAAGTCTATTAAGAGTAAAAGTAAAAAGGATTTGGGCTGCGAGGGTCAAACGTGCTCTCTAAAATTTGTGGAGTGAAAATACTGCCATGGAGTGAAATGTTTACTCCATTGGAGTTAATATTCACTCTGTTGGAGGAAATATTCACGCCAATAGGGTCAACATTTCACTCCATGGCAGTATTTTCACTCCACCAATTTTAGAGAGTGGTTATCAGTGCGGGTCGATCTAATATAATTCTTCCAATAAATAGTGGGTCTTGAATAATCGGAACTTGTAATCAAGAACCGTATTGGAACAATTATCTTAAATACGGTACATGGATTCACTTAGTAATTTAATTGGCCACCTCCACCTGTGCCAGGTCCTAAGTGGCTTTTACGTTTCTAATTTATTTATATCTTAAAAGGACCTAGTTAAAATTCGATTGTTTACATTTATATTAGATCGACACGCGTTAATAACCGCGTTTGACTCGCGCAGCTTGAATCCTTTTTACTTTTACTTTTAATTTCGCGAGTCCAGTTGCTCGTTTAATTGTACATTTTTTAATCTATAAATTCTTTCGACGTCTCCCATCGCGAACGATCCTGCGCAATTGTTACGCGACGATAAAACGGAAGCGACGCAGTGCGCTGTACACCTCGTACATCGCTACATTTATAAATATCCGACCGATTAGATTTATATTTCTATTTCTGCCATTGAAGGCGCGGTGACGTCGACGTAATACGCAAAGTACGCCGTCGAATTCCGCCAATGCGACTGGTAGCGCGGCGCCGTTAATTTTAGAAGTTACTTCGATCGGCGCGGGCCTAGTTTGGACCGCGGGACGCCAAGCGAAATCTCCGACGACAATGATTCACCGTGTACGTCTTCCTAGTTCTATCTATATCTCACGGCGAGTCGAAGCGTGCGACTGCACTGAGAAAAATGTCCGATTAAATATAATCGAATAATCCAAGTACATGATAACAAACGGATTTGTATGCCCGATGAAAAATGTGATCGGTTGTGCGATCGAATTCAATAGGCAGTTTGCATTTCACCGGGGTGTATACACGATTTAATCGGGGAAAGTTGATCGGAAAAATTAACCATCGGGAACGTCACTTAATTGGTTTATCCGATGGAAATTTTTCTCAGTGTAGCCATCAATATGCGTGTTCCGTCCCGTGTTCCTGGTTCCGTTCGAGAGAGACGGCAGGAAAGATCGAGAGATCGGATGAACTGAGAAAAATGTCCGGCTAAATATAATCGGATAATCCAATTACATAACAACAAACGGATATATCCAATTAAATTGCATATCCGGTGAAAAATATGATCGTTTTTTCAATCAAATTTCATCGGTGACTGCATTTCATCGGATAAATCTCATCGGATGTATCCATAATTTAATCGGAAAACGTAATCGGAAAAATTAGCCATCGGAAACACTATTTAATTGGTTTATCCGATGGAAATTTTTCTCAGTGTGCGAGTCGACGGATATCCACACTGAGAAAAATGTTCAATTGAATATAATCGGATAATCCAATTGCATAATAACAAACGGACATATTCGATTAAATTTCATACACTGAGAAAAATGTCCGATTAAATATAATCGGATAATCCTATTACATGATAACAAACGGATATATCCGATTAAATTGTATATCCGATGAAAAATTTGATCGGTTTTTCAATCAAATTTCATCGGTAATTGCATTTCATCGGATAAATTTCATCGGATATATCCATAATTTAATCGGAAAACGTAATCGGAAAAATTAACCATCGGACATACTATTTAATTGGTTTATCCGATGAAAATTTTTCTCAGTGTACCGATGAAAAATATGACCGGTTTTTCGATCAAATTTCATCGGTGATTGCATTTCATCGGATATGTACATAATTTAATCGGAAATTTTGCTCAGTGCAGTTGTTCGAACAATTCGAACGCGAAAGAGACATTCCCAGCGAGAAATGTCCCGTAGATCGATGTCGAATCGACATCAATTTGGCTGTGTCGATATCGATTTGACGTCGTTTCGACATCGATCGACGAATCATTTCTCACTGGGTTACATACAAAGACAAAGAGTGCCGCGCGCATACGCATAAATGATTGACGTTATCGTTGTTAATGGATGACCGACCTACTTGGGCAAGTTCTTATCACTCTTGAGACATTTCTCCTCTCCGTAAAATTATCCCCTCAAAAAAAATAGAGCGCGAGCGAACGCTCCTTACATTCGACATATTTTCATCGTACACCGCTTGATCTCCGCTTCCTGGATTCTGATTTCAGGTGAGATGTGCCTGCACGTGGCCGTCGCTAACGGACACGTGAACCTGGTGCGTCTTCTGCTGCGTCTCGGCGCCGATCTCGAGGCGAGGGAGGCGCTGAGCGGTAGAACGGCTCTTCACCTCGCGATAGAGCGCAAATGTCACACGGTAGTCAAATTCCTGCTGCAGGAGTGCAAGCCCTGCCTGGAAACACAGACGTACGGCGGCCTGACGGCGTACCAGCTGGCATTGAGCACCGACTGCCAGCTCGCCAAGGACCTGGTGGTGCGACACGGCGCAAAACCGGAGCCGCTGCCGGAGTCGGATTCGGAGAGCAGTTCTGAGAACAGTTCCGAGGACGAGGCTTACGGAGAGGCGAGTTACTTGCCCGCGATCGTCAAGATGCAAAACGCGGTCGAGGTGAACGTCTGAGGTCTACCCGCCGATCGGTATCCGATTAATTCGTCCAACGGGTCCCTTGCACGAAGTGCCCTTACGGAAAAGTACATACTGGGAAAAAAAGCACCGGATAATTACTAGAGTTCGATAAACGAGTCGTTAGAAATTACTGAGGCACAGTAATTTTCTAGTAATTATTTCGCTTACGTTTTTGCAAGAGCGTTTCAGATTACTGACCATGAATCTGAATGAAATAGATAATGGAACAAGAATGAAATAGGAAAAATACCCTGTTTTCACTAATAGATAGAATACGATCAGATTGCATAGATTACATGCAATTGCAGTGAAACTGCATATAATCTAATGTAATCTGGTCATATTCTTTTTGATATTTTAAAATACGGTATGCTATTTACGATACGCGCATACGCGCGAGGACGTGTTTCGAGCTGAAAACGATCGCGAAGTTACTTTAGCAGCGAATTAATACGAATGACTGCAGTGAATAAAGTTGAGTTTAGAGTTGAAAATGATTAAAACTATATCGCGATAATGATTTCATACATTAGACATAACAAGTGCACAAAGTTATATTCTACTTTTTAATGTATCGATGAAATCACGTTAATTAATTAGATGAGTTTCAATGATTGCTACTTAAAGATATATATACATTAATTTTGTTAAATTGAATAATAATCGCTATTCGCGACTCACGCTAATAATATAATCGCGATTTTGACGCCCTTACGACAACCTTCTAATTCGTACACTGAGAAAAATGTCCGATTAAATATAATCGGATAATCCATTTACATAATAACAAACGGATATATCCGAGTAAATTGTAATAATATCTGATGAAAAATATGATCGGTTTTTCGGTCAAAGATCGGTAACTGCATTTTGTCGGATAAATTTCATCGGGTGTGTCCATAATTTAATCAGAAAAGTGAACCATCGAAAACACTACTTCAATGGTTTATCCGATGGAAATTTTTCGCAGTGTAGAATTGAATTAGGATGAATAATAAGAAACGAGACAGAAAATTGTTAGACGAATTTAAGGAACTTTAGCTACAATTTGCATTATGCGTGCACGATTATCGAGATGCATCTGAACTAATGAGTATTATTATAAATAATTATAATGTTATTGCAGACTATTCAAATCGATATTAGCGGCATCGTATGCCGGAGGACAAGCGAATAAAGAGATAACGGAGATGCGTGTGGAAATCGAAGATCTCAGAAACGAACTTATACGCGATTAACGAATATTCGATTAACGAACGAAGCAACGACTTATGAACGTAGATTGTCCTAGTAGTTTCTTCCTTTTCGCAATATCCTGACGCGTGTTTCTGAAATGTGCTGTAAAAATAATACGAAGGACAATCCGTATGTCGGCACAGGTGTGGTCGGTTCTACGATTGAACAATTTGTGCGAATGCGATTGTTCCGCGTGACAGTGTGAGCACGAAAGATTTACGTTTTATTTTATACCGAGCGCGATATTTTATAATGTATATAGCGGAGTATGTAATAGAGAAAAGTATGCAATAGAGAAGCAGGGTAGACCGAGGCGAATCGGATCACAGGATCGAGACTATATTTGTTACATTCCGATCGAAACTTATTATTCTGGCGCGCGAGTTACTTCTCCTAAAACAAAAGCCAGCGCGTGCGCATTGTGCACAGTTTAGTATCGGTATTGAACGAAAAGCAATCCGATCTGCCTCGGACTGTCTACCCTGTGCGATAATGTAAATAGAAAAATATTGTGATCCGCGTTTGACGAGTGAATATCTACGAGAAGGAGGTTTTATTGCAAGTCGTAGATCGTAGAGTTGGACGCGAGGTTGGTACGTGGTACAAAATACATTTTAGGTCGAAGAGAAATAATCAAATTCTCGTTCTTGCGACTTGTAGCGGTACGACGTGTGCGTTATTAGTTGCGATGCTTTAATTAGCCGAGATAATGGGCCAGGTAGCTGTGCAATATACGCATGTATTTATATTAACATAGTAAAAGAAAAAGATCCAGAACAATACGTTAGTCGACTGCGAACGTTCGCCGGATCAGTGTTCATTTAGTGACTTTTAAGATTACGATCGCTTCCGTCAAAGAATATGTAATAAATCTTTCTCCCGTGTACATATTAGCCATCCTCCGTTATAATCACATAAATATATCATAGCCATGATGTATTAATGACAACGGCGACGACGCCGTTATTATTGTTATATTCCTGTATGTAAGAGCCACAATTATTTTTAATAAAAAAAAAGATACTGCGAAAAATTCAGAGCCCTCTCCTTCCCTCCATGCCCCATGCTGGTCGACTGACGTTATTATTTACGGCGCAAAAAATCACAAGGAGACGATATCGCTCCGGGTCAACACATTCTCACGAGGAAATCTGGAAATTCCCACGTCGCAAACACAGCATTATAGGTTTCGAGTTTAGAGGAAAGAACGTCTTTCAGATATGTATATTACCCCGGACAGTTCTGTACAACGAAAAAAGGATGTCGCTTAAAAATATATTGCGACAATATAAAAAACGGAATGGCACAAGATTCTTATACAATACCCAATACTCCTCGTCTCGGAGATCAATAATTCGCTATGCAATCTTAACGCGCAATTAGAAATTAAACAAATCTTGCACATTTGCTATTTTATACATAGACAGTGCAGAGTTTTTCCCAGAGAATATTCGATGTAACGGGGTTTTCGCAGAGGCGTAAGACGCGGCGGATGAATCGGCGCGGTTAAATCCGAAACGGCGACGTAAAAATCTAGAGCAAGGGCCGGCCGTCGCGTGTTATTTCGAGTTTCGTGTAATGGTCTAGGCATTCCAAGAAGCTCGCTTATTCCTTTTTCAGGGAGTTTGTTCCACAGAGAGGCAGAGAAAAAGAGGAAGAGAGAGAGAGAGAAGGAGAAAGAGAGAATTCGTGCAAGTTTCGGGGTATATTTGGATATCATAGAAACGACGGCTCTCGTCTGAGAGCGTGTTCCCCAACACGTAAGCGCGGAATAATTATAGTCGTGTCCGCGGTGGAATGCCGCTCCCGAGAAAGAGAGAGGAGAGAGAGAGAGAGAGAGAGAGAGAGAGAGAGAGAGAGAGAGAGAGAGAGAGAGAGAGGAGAGAGACGCGCTTATCCCCTCGCTTATCCTACGTAAAAGGGATTTCGATTAACGTAATCGGTGATAACTTCCGAAGTGATGCCTGCACTATTGTCTTATCGCGTGTTACGATAAGTACATGGTTGCTTAGTTCTTCACAGACGTCCTCAACTCATAAGACAAATCAAATCTGTCGAAGATTGAGATAAAGGCATGGACCTAAGAGTGCAGAAAATTTGAAGAATTAAAAATAACCTTCGTAAACCCACGATGTAGGAATATGAAGGAAAACGTATAATGAATGTAGCAAACAGCAATGAACAATTTGCCCCGAAAATTGGTTCTTACTGCATTCAATCGCTATTATACGTTCCGTCAAATTTTCTGTTCTTACAATTTGATCTATGCGTTTGTCATTCGCTCACACTTGACCGGAAATGAACGTAATTTGATACCGGAAATAACGTATTTTTAAATTACTGCTATATGCAATCGTTTGTATTTCGTATGGAGACGTTTAAGGTGCAACTGAAAAGATTTGTGAGTAATTCGTTTATTTCTAATTAATTAACTATTTTTCCACTGAGCCAGGATGGATAAATTAAACAAAGTATTTATACAGAATCGTTTGTATTTTGCATGAAGAATTGTGAAGTGTGATTAAAAAGGTTTGTGAGTGATCCAGATAATTTTACTTTTAAAGGAGGGAATTATAATCACAGGTTTTACTGCCTTTTGCATAAGTGCATTCCACAATAAACAATGTGCGATACATAAACACGATGAATATTAAAAAAATATTCTGAACGGATATTCCAAAGACACTCTCGACGAATATTCTAAAAACGTTCTTCTTTGTTATGAATATACGATTTCTAATTGTAATCTATATATATTTATTGAATACTCGATTCGAATATTCTGAAATTAAGAATATTTGCACTCCAGAAGAATATTTATAGAACTATGTGTGCTATCTGGGTATAGCGATCTTCTCCGAACAATGACTTTACGTGGACAAAGCGTTGCCCGTTTGCCGTCAAAACGCACCAAAGATACGTGATAATCACGATAATATTGTCCACAAAATGTTTTAACATTTTTTAATATAGAACTTATCGCAACACCGATCTTGTTCCGATACGTTCCGCGTAACGTTAATGGCAACGCAGCGTTCAAATATGTCGGCAACTTGACGCGATAATACGCGATTCAAGTGAACGGCTAATAAAATAATGCATCGATTAATCAAAAACTCACGATTAAATTTGAATATCGCACGCACAATACGTATTGAACTCGTAAATTTGGAGAATTTGGAAACTACATTATTAACACTGCAGTGTATGTAGAAGAATCGTGATTGCCGGTGCGTTGATTACATGGCGCGAAACGTACGAATTTATGAAATGTTAACGTATGGCTGATGTATTCGTCTCGTTGTTAGAATCACTCGATACGACAATATCACTCGGGTCTCTTTCTCTCTTCAGAGAGAATCTTAAGAATTTCTATTTTATCTGACAGAACTTTTCAAAGCGCGACGCAAGACAGTCGTGAGATAAGCGACATCACAATTTAGACACTTCCGCGAATATCGCGATTTTTTATCACGCAAAAGTAGAACGCATGATTACGCCGCTGTTGCTCGATTGCCACCTTCTTTTCTCTCGGACTTTTGGCCGGCAAAACGTATCAAAGCGACCTGATAATTACGACATTATTATCCGAAATGTTTTAATACTTTCATTACGCCGTTTCTTATATCTTGAATTAAATATCTTGAATATTTTGAATCATTTAATATTATAACAGGAAAACTATCGAACTATGGAATTTCGCCTCTTCTTTTAACAGGAGTAACTAAATTTCGGCTAGCTTTTGAATGAAATATTTAATTAAAATTACCGGGACCATTCAAACCTTTTTAATCACACTTTGTAACTCTTGATATTATACAAAATACAGATTTCCTATGAAAACTGTTCAATTTATCTATCCTGGCTAAATGCCGGGTGGAAAAATGACTAATTAATTTCAAATAAACGAATAATTCACAAAATTTGCAAAACGAAAAATTCACAAAACACTTTTCAATAGCACCTAAAATGTCTTCATACCAAATACAATGTAGAACTGTATATAGGAGTTGTTTAAAAAAATTCATTTCCGGTCAAGTGTAAGTAAATGTCTTTATCCGAGTCTTCGATGAATTTTAATTACGAATTGAGTACGCCGTGTGGCGGCTATCCGTCGTACTTGCACGTAATTTAACACTCAAACTTACGTATAGTATATAGGACCAGGGTTGGGAAGTAACTCGTTACTTGTAACGAAGTTATAGTTACAGTTACTTCTTTTTAGTAACTCTAGCTTAACTTCGTTACTTTCTCTCCATCTGCAACTGTAACTTAACTCGGTTATACTTCTTCGATAACCAGTAACTAATTTAATAGTTACATTAATAGTTACTTGATATATTTTTTAAACCTCCACAAATCGCATTAGGCCTTTGCGCATAAACGCCTCCCTAGTAGCATAATTTATTGGCTATACATTGGCTAACATTGAATAAACATTGTTGGGAGTGCATTGGCCAATATTTTCTCAATATAATGCTAATATTGGTTATAAAATAAATACAAATATACTACTGATGTTGCACTTAGATGATTATTTAATTTTGGATTAATATTGAAATTGTATTTCAATTGCGCGGTACGGAAAATTGTAAAAAAAACTTTTCAAAGTTTGATGAAAATTAGCATCTTTCTAGGCAGACTCTGAGAATTGTATTCATAATTGTACAAAATGTCCAACGTCATTTCCGCCAGACGTTTGCACGACCATGCACACATACACACACACACACAACAACAACACACCGTGTGTGTGTTGTTAGGTGCAGATGTACCGGGCGTTCATAAAGTCATTAGATACCTTATAAAAAGAAAAACTTTTCACCGTTTAAACAAAATTATTAATACAATTATTATTACAATTAAATATTAATTTAAATAAAATTATTTAAGACGAATTAATAAAATGTGCGAGCATGCAATTCTCTGTTAGAGAACTAAAATCAAAAAGCAATAACGTTACGGGGAAAAAATTTTTCGACCGTTTTCTACGCATATGCTTCAGCAAAGTCTCTACAAATTTCGATTTTACAATCAGTTTAGGATCTATAAAATTTCCCAACGGAAGTATCTCTCTCAAATATACCCGAACTCTTTGACGCGATAAATTGCAATGAAAATGGTGCACATTCCCCTAAATTCATCATGGAAATGTGGGATCTAAAAAGGGAAGAGAAAATAATAAATATAAAAATTAATTAATACATTTGACAAATCCGTATACACTCGACTCTCTTTTCACACGTTTTTTTATGCATTTTTTCTATAAAATTTTTGCTCCACATAAGCTCCTTCTCTCTTTCTCTACAGTAGCTACTTCCCTTGAGAAAATATACCTTAAAAAAATTTTTTATTTTACTTTAGAAAAATAAGAAATATGAAAAATAAATATGGACACTTTAAACTTTTATTTAAGGTGACCTTAAAACTTAGTTTAAGAATTTAAAAAAAAACCTAAAAAATTGTGAAAAGTATGTGATATAATTTATAATACCGCGTGGCCCTCTAGTGGGAACGTCGACAGGCTTGGCTATGTAAAAATTACTTTAAGTGTCTAAAACTACTCTAAAATTTCTTAAGTAAATTTTTAGCTTCTTTATGTAAACTCTTAGATTTTAGAGATTACTTAAAAAAATTTTAATTTCATTTAAAGTAAATTTTTCGAAGGCTAATTAGCTTAGAGAGATAAAGCGTTACAGAGCATTTTTACAGAATACATCCCTCAATTTCAACTTCTAATAATGAATAAATATAAATTTTGCAATCGGTCACACGTCGTCCCCATATAATCTACGGCCGGTATTCATAGTCGAGTCTTATTGCAAAATCATCTTAAGTGTTGCCTTAAGAGGCTAATAAGGCTGTGTGATTGGTTAAAAACACATTAAGAGTATACTTAAGATAATCTAAAATATAAGAACGGACTACGAATATCGACCTATATTACGCGCACCAAGTGAAAAAAAAAACCCCACGTAAAGGCAGAACTTGTCCAAGTAGCATAATATTTTAAGGCAATTTCTTCCCCACGGATTTTTCCCAGACAACGCGGTTTCGTTTTATTATACGCGATAACGAGTGCAATTGCCGAGCGATAAGTAACGCTTCTCTCAAGAAGAAAAACGATATCCGTTTCACCGCGACTTCACGGGCACCCGGTATGCACACATAAATGTATATACCACGTATTGCACCACGCGTTCGTCGAGCGGCGGCGAAACGTGTGGCGTGGTGTCGCTACTCGTCCGCTTCTAGAGCCTTCCGAGATCTGCGCCGGCAAACGGAGCGACGACACGCGTGCTACGGTGGCACACTGAGGGAGAATCCGCGTGAATTGCACGAGTCATTCAACGAGCGTGGTCTCTCGCCTGAGCGAGCCAAACGGAACGGTCGTCGTCGAGGGACGAGGTACAGAGCTCGGACGTATCACGGGAGCGTGGAGTGATGGGGGACCAGGTAAGCGTCGCGGGGCGAGGGCACGTTTGGGCGCGCGTTGGGCCTCGCGCGGGGATTTACGCGCGCCGTTTCCTCGGGAGCGCATCCTCGCGTCCGCCCACGCGGTCGGCGATTCCCCGGCTGAGGGTGCGATCGCGACCGTTTCCCCGCTGCCGATCGCGACAGACTCCGGAGCAAGGACACGCCGACGATTAGGCTGGATTGGGAATAGCTGTTGGAACATTTGCGAACCGACAGTCGTTAAAATAATGAGTCCTCGAGTCTGGCTGATTAATAGAGAAATCGCGATCCGTGAGATCCGTCGCGCGTCCCCCCCGTCGAGATCTACACGACTGAGTGTTATATTGCCAATGTATGCGTGTGTGGCTTTGCAGGTGGCTTTGCTGAAGGAGAAGGGAAACGCCGCTTTACAGACGGGCAATTACGATGAGGCCATTAAATGCTACACGGACGCGATCGCCCTGGACGGCGGTAACCACGTGCTCTACAGTAACCGCTCGGCGGCGTACGCAAAGTCGGAGAAGTATCAGCAGGCGCTGGAGGACGCCGAGAAGACCGTCAGCCTGAAGTCGGACTGGGGAAAGGGTTACTCGCGCAAGGGCAGCGCCCTCGCTTACCTGGGCCGATACGACGAGTCTATCCGGGCTTACGAGAAGGGCCTGCAATTGGATCCGAGCAACGCCCAGCTGAGAAGCAGCCTGGCGGAGGTCAGGGCCCAGAAACAGGCCTCCGCGTCCAATCCGTTCAATTCGCCAGACATCTTCGTCAAATTGACGAGCGATCCGCGAACGAGGGGCTACCTGTCCGACCCGGAATACTTGAAGCTGCTGCAGGAACTGCAGACCAATCCGCAGAGCCTCGCTACCAAGCTCCAAGATACCAGAGTGCTCACCACTCTCAGCGTACTGTTGGGAATGAACGCCAACATGGAGGAGCCGATGGAGACCGAGTCGATGAATTCCGCGGAACCGCCGAAACCCAAGCCGGAGCCGAAGCCCCAGAGGAAGGAGGAGGATAATCTTCCGCCCGAAAAGAGAAAAGCCGCGGAGGAGAAGAAGAACGGCAATGAGGCTTACAAGAAGAAGAACTTCGAGGAGGCTCTGCAGTATTACAACAAGGCCGTGGAGTTGGACTCGACGGAAATCGTTTACTTGTTGAACATAGCGGCGGTGTACTTCGAGCAGAAGGAGTATCAGAAGTGTATCGCTCAGTGCGAGAAAGCCATTGAGGTCGGTAGGGAGAATAGGGCGGACTTCAAATTGATAGCCAAAGCGTTCACGAGAATCGGTCACGCTTACAAGAAGATGGAGAACTGGAAGCAGGCTAAGGTGTATTACGAAAAGTCCATGTCCGAGCACAGAACGCCGGAGATTAAAACCTTACTCTCGGATATAGACAAAATAATCAAGGAGGAGGAGAGAAAGGCTTACATCGACCCGAAAAAAGCGGAGGAGGAGAAGGAGCTTGGAAATCAAAAGTACAAAGACGGCGATTATCCGGCGGCTATAAAGCATTATTCCGAGGCGATCCGAAGAAATCCGGACGATCCCAAGTACTACAGCAACAGAGCGGCCTGTTACACCAAACTCGCGGCGTTCGATCTCGGTTTGAAGGACTGCGAGAAGGTGGTCGAGCTGGATCCCAAGTTCATCAAGGGCTGGATCAGGAAAGGAAAGATTCTGCAGGCCATGCAGCAGCAGGGGAAGGCCTTGACGGCGTATCAGAAGGCACTCGAGCTGGATCCGCAGAACAACGAGGCGCTGGAGGGCTATCGCTCCTGCGCCGTATCCGCTAGTTCTAATCCGGAAGAAGTTAGAAAGAGAGCGATGGGGGATCCGGAGATCCAGAGTATATTGCGAGACCCGGCCATGAGGTTGATCCTAGAACAAATGCAGAGCGATCCAAGAGCTTTACAAGAGTAAGCACTACATTCACGTATATTGACTTGTGCTGACATACATGTAGTCTTTCAATTGTCTACTTTAAAGAAATCGATACAATATCTTTGCTATTATTTCGAGAGAGATATTACGTATCAATATATTTTTTCGGAAACGAATTACAATTTACCTTGTATTGTACAAACCTCAACTACATCTTATGACCCGAGAATATGAAATGAGAATCAGAATCGAACTCAGAATCGCCAATTACAAGTTAACTCTCTTACTAATCTTACTATACTACTTTGTATTAATACGCCACGGTATGTGTCCTTTGGAAATTCAAAGTTCGTGAACTGATTCTTTTTCAAAATGATTTACTTCTATATTTAATGATACAGACGTTAATGAATATTTTTTTCTTTTTACAGCCATTTGAAGAATCCTGATATAGCTGCGAAATTGCAAAAACTTTTGGAATCTGGTCTCATTGCTATCCATTGAAGATGTAAAGAACCGAATACATGTTTATAATAAAAGAATAACACTGCTATCACAAGTTCCTTTAATATTAAGGAAATTCGCATTTGTCTATTGCAGATACATTAGTCATGTGGGTTACTTATCGTCATATTGCTCTGGGGTCGCAAATTTCTTTAATATTGAAGAATTCACATTCATTTATTATAAATATATTAGTCATATGGGATACTTATCGTCATATTGCTCTGCTGTTGCAAATTCCTTGAATATTGAGGAAATTCGCATTTGTCTATTGCAGATACATTAGCCATATGGGATACTTATCGTCATATTGCTCTTAAAATTTGTGTTCAGAGAGCCATTTGAAATAAAAGTTACATTATAATACACATGATTCTCTCGTGCAAACGCAGTGGCCTTTAGTGTCATCGATGACTTTTGCATTTCAAGACTTGTTACGGTGATCATGTGTGAAACATAACAACACACACACACACACACACACATATATATAAATATATATAAATATATATAAATATAGTGAAGCTCTATGTGGAAAAATGAAGTGTAATTGTGAACTGGTGAACTCCTAACAAGTAATATTTACATTAAACAAAAACTTACTTCGATGGCTGAACCATGAATATTATGACTTTGGAAGTTAATAGTGTTATGTTAAAAAATGATCTAAAACTAGAATAATCCTTTAAAATAGTGAGTTTTTCATAAAATTATTTCTGTATATGATGCACACACTAACATCTCTTTTACCGTTGATTTCATTAGTGCTTTTAGTACTAAAATTAGTCACAATAATGTAATGAATGCGAAGTCAGACTAAGGCGACAACCAATAAGAGGAATGCTTCGAATAAACATCTTTTTAAACCGAGTTTTCACTTGGGAATATTTATTGTCCTTATTTAACACCTCTGTTATATCTACTTAAAAAACTATGCTGATTATTATGGGATACGACCATTCTACGACTTCGTCACAAATTGATATTACTGTACTTCTTATCATAGTTATCTTTTATTTTTCTATAAAGTTTATATTATAATATAAAAAACAGTTTTTATATATATATACCAAAATTCAATAATCATATTTTGTAATGTTTCCACAATAAGCAATCTGTTGCAAAACAAATATTATATTAAATTAAACATTGATTCATTTTATTCTCCATTAGAATTCGTAATATAACATAACTCTGTTATGCCGCACACTGCGATGATCTGTACGAATTTCTGCAAATTGTATAATAAAAAATAAAAATTTTCTCCTTACCGTAAAGTATCTTTAAAAAAAAAAAAGCTATAAATGTGAAGACAATCTCAACGGAGATCACAGTAAAAATTGATCCGTTTATACGTGCGCGTGCGTGTGTCTGTGTATGTGTATATGTGTATTATTTCCTGAATGCACGAAGAAAGAAGACAATAAGAAATTTTCTGATTGTGGAATTCATAAATAAAATATTCTTATTTCAACCATGCGTTGTATCGTCCTCGACGAAATCGGCCGCTTCTTCCCGCGTCACGCATTCGACATGCGAAACTTTATTCCTGAACTTTACTCCGTAAAATTTGTTCGCATGGTGCAGCAGTTCCGGTCTACGAAACAAATGCAATTTTATTTTTATATTGACCCGTTAGTATAATATATTATGCTGTTTTCTTAAAATAAGCATCACGATTAAAATCCTTTACAAGACACTGATTGTGTTACCTGAATGTCGTGGTAATGAACTGGGCGTCAGAACTAAGTTCGTGAATCATGTCCGCTACCGCTTTTCTGTGTTGCGCGTCTAACGCCTGATCGATTTCGTCGAATAAATAAAACGGTGCAGGATCGCACTTTTGTATTGCGAATATCAGGGCCAACGCTACGAGTGACTTTTGTCCACCGGATAATTGGTTCATCTCTCGCATCTCACCTCTGTGTCCCGTAAATGACACTTTTATGCCTAGAAATGATAGATATATGTTTTTGAAATCATCAATGAAATATGTATTTAGCTAAAAAAATATAGCTAACTCAAAGAACAAAATAAATCAATTTTTTAAATAAATTTTACTTATTGATTGCACAGAAAATATTCGAGTGGTATAAAACTATTTCCTCACCTACGCCAATAAATCTATCAGAATCTGACTCTGCTGTGCCATCATCTCCTTCATCGCCGTTTGCAGTTTTCATGACCAACTGTGCATGCCCCGAAGGTACAAGCTTTTTGAATACTTCGCTGAAATATTTGCTCACCTTAAAAAGGAAGATTACCACGTTAAATCGCGTTTAAGAATGTATTCTCATAACAAATTAATTCTATAGTGTCTTGAAAGTCAATTTTAAACGATAATACTATTGATATAAACAAACACACCTGCTTAAATGTAAACTGTATAGCTTCGCATTTGCGTTGTTCAAGTACCGACATGAGTTCTTTTATTTTCTCGTCACCTCGGTCCAACTCTTCCTTCCGTTTAACTAATTTTTCTTTCTGATCGCTGAAGGACATGAACTGATCTAAAGCCTTTTTATTCACATGGCTAGAAATAAATATAATAAATACGTTAGCAAACAAGTAATACAGTCTTTAATTTATAAATATGTAACAGTAGTCGATAATTATTAATCATTTTTGCGTATTGTAACTAATTTACCATATTTAAATAGAAAGAATGCGCACCTATATTTTTTCAAATGATTATTTGCCTTTTCCATTTCCTTAAAAAGCTGTTTCGTCGACATTGTATTAAATCTAGAATAAGCCTCGTGACTAGGCAATGCGCCGAGTTCAGTGATCTTCTGTGTACATTCTACTATTTTCTGCTGCAAGATATTTAACTTGCTTGCTAATTTCTCTAAATCTTTCGCGTCTGCTTCTATTTTCTCTTGCGCCTCTTTTTCTTTCAATTTCCATTTCTCGACTTCAGCAGACTCTGATTTTTGCTAAACATACGACAAAATGTGAATTGAGGATTAGGTATTACTTAAATATAAAGAAGAGAGATTACTGTTGGTTTTAGATTTACTTACTTTCTTCATGGCATTGGTCACTTTTTCATTTTGTGCTTTAAAGTCCTCATTTACTTTCACCAGTCTCTTTTCGATATCCGCCAACTGGATCTTTGACGAGTCAAGCTGCCGTTGTCGATCTTCAACAGATATCTCTTGCAGAGCTTGAACTAGCTCATCCTTTCTTCTCACCAAGTTGTTTGTTAACAAGTTCTCCAACTTATTCTTCTCAGCTTCTAATTGCATTCGTTTTGCAAACGCCTCTTTGTTCTCTTTTGTTAGGCGTCTTATGTCATCATTTAAAGTGTCAACCTACGAAAACAAAATCGATAATCAGTAAGGTTCAAATCTTAAACCCGAGGTGGAAGAAAGGAAATTGACATTTTTTAATTCAACCACACAAAAATTCTTGAAAATTTTGTCACGCGCACCTGATGCTGATCCGCAACGGATAATTGCGCCATAAGTTCTTGATGTAACTCATTCTCCAGGCCATCTTTAGTCGCGCGCATTGCTTCCAAATTTGATGTGCACTGTGCAAGACTTCTTTCTTTTGGCGTGCGGTACCTTTCTATAGCACTCAATTCTTCCTTCATAAGACGTATCTCTGCTTTCATTTTATCATATATGTCTCTGTTAAATAAATGATAATTCGCGCTGATTAATCTCACTATAATTTAAATTAATAATAAAATTCCAATTTATTTCAATTATCAAATGTAGACATTCAAATAATATTCAAATTAACACTAATTATAATCATAGATTAAAGATATCTAATTACTTACTTAGCTTTACTATTTCTGGTTTCAGTCCTCTGCATTTCGCTAACGTAAGAACTAATATTTTGATCCGCCTTTCTGATTTCCTCCTTAAGCGTCGTTAATTGGGTCTCGAGAGTAGAAATCTGTGACATTAATTCCGATCTTGTCTTTTGTATCTCAAGTCGTGACCTCAGCGTGTTGAAATATCCGCCAGTTAAGGAGCCCTTGGATGAAACCTGGTCTCCCTCTAAGGTAACACAGTCTAAACCGGAATCCCGCGCCAAAGTCGTCGCTGCCTCCAGATTACGACAGATCAAAGTCTTTCCAAATATATATCTATAACATAAAGATAATAGTAATAATACAAAGTCTATATATATCACAAAGAAATGTATGGTAAGAGAAAAAGGATTCTTATTTCATACGTTTATACCTTAGTGCTTTATCAAATTTGGGATCGTAATTCAACTTTGATATCATAGGTATAGCATCGGAGGTTTGCGGATAATCAATGTCCTTTACGTGGAGCCTATTTAGTGGCATAAACGTTACTTCTCCTGGTAATCGCTGATTGTTCATCTCTTTTAAAATTTTCGTGCCAAACTTATCGGTCTCCACAATATGATGGAACAGTCGATTCCCAGCAGTTACTTCAACAGCCATATAAACGCTCTTGTCACAGTTGAAATTTTCAATTACAGGCCCGTAGTAGCTGCTCACTTCATTAGCCATATCTCTCCGTCCACTGTAGAACCGAAGATATTAAGAGCATATTACTCGTAATATTATTATCATAAATTTTAAATGGAGGCGTTTAAAAATCCTTGCAAAAAATTACGTTAAAAAAATTAATCTTACCGAAAAGTGTCTAGTACTTTGCGTACGCTGTCCCTGCCATTTAAAATAGGCTTGCCAGCCATGGATCTTAGACTCTGATCTGCTTTCGCCAAATCTTCTTTTAGACCAGATAAATTTAATTGCAACACACTCTCCTGTCGATACCTGCAATTTAACATGCTCAGCTTGTAAAAGCTCTACGATTTCCAAGTAACCTGGTTCTTCATTTAGTAAATTAAATGGGATGGCGGGGAGCTCTGTTTTAAAAAAATTTAAGCGTTTGCGCTGGATTAGTTGCTTGAGCGAGTTTAAGTACAAGAATTTAAAAGAACTTTTTTGAATAACAGTGCAAGGTTAAGCATATGAGTGAAATTATACAGGTTTTATGTCAAATGTGAAATAAATATCAGGGTATTAAGGTACCAATATGATCAAAGAGACGAAAATACAGTCAATAGCACGTTAAATACGCCTAAAAGAAAATAATGTCAAACATACTGTTCTTTTCGAGTTGCTTGACACTGATCCTTCGACTTTGTGAGCTCATAATATTGTTTGTTATGATCATCTATTGACGCACGCTGTCGTTCCATCTCGCGCGTGTGGTCTCCTATTTTCTTCTCCAAGGCAATCTGTTTTTCCGCATCACATTTTAAATCTTCGCTTATCTTTTTCTGGTGCTCTTCTTTATCTTTTATCTGTTTCGTCAGCTGTTTAAGTTCATTCTGTATCCACTTGTCCCTTTCATCCTACAATAAATAAATCTCATTAAAATATTACAACTCAAGTAGCGCAAAAATGTAATTTAAATTATTGTAATTTAATTTACGTAATTTTCTCTCCCTTTACCTTGGTAGTGAATTGACTGCCACGGCCTTGTTTAGCATACAATTCTTTACGTTTCTGCTCTTTTAATTGCAATTCTCGCGTACACTCCTCCTCGACGCGTTTCATTCGTTCATACTGCGACGAAAAAGGTTTCCTACATTAGCACCTTAAGTATATTAAATATATTAAATATCTGAATATTCTCTCACCTCCGGCTTAAGAGATTTTAACTCATCTTCCCGAACAGCAATATTAGCTTTTAACTTTTCCAACTCTTGTTGGGCGCGTTTCTTACTGTCGTTGTCACCTTTTACCTCCTCCAACAAATCGTTAATGGTAAAAGTCAACTTGTTCTTTTCTTTCAGTAATTGCTGCTGCTCTGCACTGCATTACAAATATTTTCTTACAAATGTTTCTTCTCTGCCGTATTTTTATCCATTTTATACATATATGTATACACACACACACAATCTTTGACACGTTACCTAAGTGTATCTCTCTCTTCTTTGGCAGACTGCACTTCCTTCTTCGCTTCCTTTAGCCTCTTTGTAGCGGCGCGTACCATCTCTTGGGCCGTTTTTGCTTCCGCACCCAATCTCGCCTGTTCGGCTCCACTATTCGCCCTCGACTCCTCCAGCTCTTCCAATTTTCTCTTATTTTCCTTAAGTTCGCGTTCGTGGATCGTATATTCTAAACAACGACGCTGTTTGTCCCAACGTTGATACTCCTTCAATTCCTCCTTCTCTTCCTCGAGCGTCTTTAAACGCTCCTCTGTAATAAAAACAATTATTTTGACTTATATTTTATTTACTATAAATATCTCGTTAATTCTGATCCTCGCCTATTGTTCGCAGAAAGTCCTCGATCTTCTCCAGCTTCCCTTCCGTTTCTTTCAAAATGGATTTTGACTCTTCCCTTCTATCATCGTATACCCTCGTACCTGCCACCTCCCGTAACAATTTTAATCTTTGCGAATCTGGTGCCGTTGCCATTTGGTTTATCTGCAAAACAATTACGTTGTACTGAAGACAAATGTAAGTATGTCACGTTAACAAACCTTTCCTTGCTTCACAATGTAGTACGGATTGGACCTAGAAAATCCTGCTGACTCCAACAAATTCATCACGTCGTTTCTCGTCACGACTTTTTTGTTGAGGAAATATTGGTCCTTCTTGGATCCGATCACTCTTCTTAAAAAAATGTCATCTTTGTCAATCTGCGAACAAAAAGTAAGGGATTGCCTGCGTTATTACAAAGGGTGCAAGCATAGATAAAATATTAATATTAAATAAATTAGTAAGGCTCGTATGTGTTAAACACAAATTTCAGAGAATTTAAAGGACTCAGAGCCGTGACAGGCTACTAATATTAAATATATGTGTTTAATATTATTTTTAGATACACAAAAGAACTTCAACAGCCTCAACCAGCTGAGGTGCAACTACTGATGTAAACTAATAATTTTTACCGGCAATCTCCCATCGGAGTTATCAAATATGATTTCTACGTGGGCAGATATAACACGAGGCCCCGTCCCTTCGTGCAGCAGCGCCTGCCTCTGCTCCGGTCTGAGGTGAGAGAACTCATCGCTCAGTACGAACTGAATGGCATAGAAGAAGTTACTCTTGCCGGATCCATTTCTGCCAACTTGAAAGAGAATATCCGACGCGTTAATTTCATACTAATTAATTTCATGCTAACGCGTAAGCTACGTACCCACTACATTGTGCCTCGGGTCGAAAGGCTCGACGACCGTCTGCTCGCGGTACGATTTAAATCCTTGGATGATCACCTGTTTCAACAAAGAGCCACAATGAGTATACGTGAGCAGACGTGCACGACTGGTGCTCCGAAACAGATCTGACCAATTCCATCGTAGGAATCGCGATGACACACTTATAATCTCAACGGTACACCGCGGAGGCACCGCGGTGTCTCATGATCCACGGCGGTTTCGCGTAGAATCACGACGGCAGTCCGCGAGAAACGGAGCGGACGTGGGAAATGCGGGAAAAGGTGCAGTGAACTCGCGCGAAGAGCCCGTAGGTGCGCGGAGCGCACCCGTCGTAGGTCGCGTCGGGTCGCGGCGCGACCGCGGTTTCTGCTTTACGGTTACCTGCTTGATGAACATGATGCGACGAGGAGTCAGGCGCGCCTATCATTCGTGTCGACGCTGCGCAAAGACGACGCGACCGGGCATGCGAGACTTCCTGACGCCAGGCGCGACGAAAACATCCGACCGTTTCGTTGGCAGAGCGACATTTGTATAACACGCAGGCTGGACGGCCGCGAAAAGTCCCCAGGTTTGGGCGGGAGAGACGCGGCGTGTGCGGTCTGCGGTGCAGCGTGTTGTTAAAGAGATCTGCCCGCGCGCCTCTCGGGCATGCGCAGCGCAATACGGCAACAGTAAAGTAGTAAGCTCGGATACGTAAAGGTCCCGCGAAGGCCCTACTTTTGTGTATCTATAAAAATTACAACAAGGACTTTGTAACATCGGTGAGGATCGCGAAATAGAGTTGATTTATACAGGGTGTCCCGATGTAATGTCCCACCCGAATAACTTTTTTATCTTTGACCGCAGAGAAAAACGTTTTAGACAAAAGTTGTTTGGCTCGAAGAGGAACATAAGACGGTGCCATGACATCTCGATAGCCGTTTGTCGGAGGGAAAAGTAGCGCGGGACTTTTTTTACTTGATTTGGAATACGCTGTTGCGACAGTGCTCCAATTGTTGAACATTTTTGTGTATGTCACAATACACAAATATTCTGTTTTATCAGGAAATGGGGAATCACATTCAAAATTTGTTGCAAACTCCAGTAAGAAATAATCGTCGAAAGGATATCGTTCAGATGTTTAACAATTTCTTATTGTGAGGAAAACCTGCCAAAAACCGTACCGGTATTCCAAAAAAAAAAATAAAGTCGCCGAAACAACCGAGCTCCCACTTTCCGAGCATGTGGACGTTACTGGATTTCACTAGATCCTGCACTGTGCATGTGTCCGAAAAGCGGTGGGAGACGGCGGACGCTTCTCCGAGCGTCAACAAACGTGGAAGCCGATTGGCGAGGGACAAGTCTGTTCTTTGTCGTTGGATTTTCGCCCCTGAAGCGGAGAACAGGTATAATATCGTTAATATTAATAGAACATTAACGTAATGATTCTATTAACAATCGCGATGATAGTAAGGCAATACCGAAGGAGAGCCTCTTGCTGGACAGAACGTAAGAAGCCCAGCTGCGAAGAACAGATGCTGCTGGTCGCTCCCGGACGATTCTGCGACGACCTGTATACATACAAAGCGTGCAGAACTTGAAGAACCCTGTAGAGTCGCGTCAAAACACGTCTCCGGGACGGTGTGCAACTTGGAAGCTGAGAATACACGACTGACATGAATGCTGTTGTGTTTTGTGCATATTGTTGATCGAGAGGAATCGCACGTTCGCCCGTCATCGAACCAGGTCCGTCACTAATCGCGATGGCATCGAGCAGAAGCACGAGAGAAGTTCTGTTATCGCTAGTGGATGATATTGAGTTAATAGCAAAGTGAGTAACGTTTGCCACGACGTGCCTGTCATATTTTAAGGTTCTTAGATTGATCGAAGGGAGAATTGGAGTTCCGGATACTTTACGTAACTTGAGTGTACAAGAATGCAACTCGCAGGAGAATTTTAAGTAAAAATCTGTAGCTGACAGATTACTCTAGTCTTTTCGCTCTGTCTTCGGACATTGGTTTAGCTTACTGTCTATAATTCTTTAAAGGTATCGCCCCCGTTTCCTCTTTTTTCCAGGGAGATGATAGAAAACACAATCGCCCAAAAGCCCTCGAAGCTTTCGAGCATGGAGCACGCCCAGTTAACCGAATTGCTGGTTGCGAAGGACAACGAGTTAAAGGCGACGTTGAAACGGGCCGCCGAGCAAGCTAAGATCAACCTGAAGATGGAGGCGTTGAAAGCCGAGGTGGAAAGGCAAGATCAGGATATTCAGCAGCTGCAGCGGCAGCTGAAGGAAGCGGAACAGATCTTGGCCACCGCGATCTACCAGGCGAAACAGAAATTGCAGTCTATCGCGCGCGCCAATAAGAGGCCGGTACCTTCGGAGGAGCTTATCAAGTATGCGCATAGAATAAGCGCGACCAATGCAATTTGCGCGCCTCTAACGTGGCAGCAGGGAGATCCCAGAAGGCCGTATCCCACGGACATTGAAATGAGATTAGGGTATCTGGGACGATTGAGCGATCTACCTTTAAACGGCCAGTTGCTCGGGTCTCATCCGGGTATACCGTCTGACTTACATAGGGCAGGACATCCTGCCGGAGGTAAAAGAATATATCCTTTGTACATACGTCAATATTTGAATCCACAAGCACATGCGGATTTTCAAGGGACTCCCGTTGTTTCAGAACCACCCGTTTCGCAATCGAACCAGTTCGCCTGGCATCCGTCGGGAGAGATTCATATGTCGGTCGGCGGGCAGGGTAGCGTGGCTGTGAATACGCATAAACAAGAAACGGAAGACGTCGAAGTTATGTCCACGGACTCCTCGAGCAGCTCGTCCAGTGATTCTCAATAGATATAAGGCGTAAATGTTATTGCGTGTCAGAAGTGCGCAAGATATTTTTTCTCTGTATGCGAAATATGACACGAGACTATTCGAAACTTTCATCGTAATCGGTGCGTAATGTTACAGCAACATCAATTGATATAAATAAAAGGAGACATACTTTTTAGCTAGAAGCCAACGTTTCTAGAAGATTCTTAAAAACTTCAATGTACGTACATGTATGTTGTGGTATACATTGATATCTTGTGACCATCTGTCACAAGAATTGACTGTCGAGATGAGATTCGAATTCCATATCCTTCTGACCAGGGAAAAAGCATTTTTGCAATCACGTTATTACCTTTTTTTTATAAGTCGTACCCAGCGGTTACTGTACAGTTAACAATTTCTGTATCGAAAACGTTTTAATCGATGGAAGTAGAAGTATTGGTATTAGATAGAGAAGAGTTGTTGCAGCGAAAGATTCGTCACAAAGAGACAAAGATATACAGGTCGTATCTCGTATCGATCTTTTTTTAGGTTCGTCCGCAAATAATTCTGCTGTCGTCTAATTATCTGGCAATCGAATACGATCACGGTTTATATAACAAGTATTTATTACTAATTAATTCTAAATTATTTACATGTAAAACCAAAATGGATATACATATAAAACAAAACGTGTAATCAAATAAATTTTCTTTCAACGTAACTACTTGATGACGAATACAAATTTGTGATTGAAAGAAAAGAGACATCGCATTAAAAATGTGTCGATATGTATCTATTAGACATATCTTCGGAATTCTTGAAATTAAAACTTCGTCATTCTATTTTATTACGCTGGATCATTATTATGCTCAATATTCTGGAAATTAAAACTTTACTATTCTACATGCTGAATCCAGTGGATTTCCACAATTGTATATAAAAGACTTATAATATATAAAAATTAATTCAACATTCATCGTTAGAAGTACATTCTAAAAGAATCTTTGGTATGAATTTGTGTAGCGTGGCAGAAGTGTAATGCATCTCAGGATTGGCCTACGATATAAAAACGAACGATAAAAAAGTATTCACACTTTGATCTGGAATAATTAACTTCTGAACTTTTGTACTAACCAGCAAGACTTGCTCATTGAACTGTGACTTTTGAAATAAAACATTTTCATTAGTGAACGTCAAGCCAAACAACTTGCAATCCGCCTGGATCTTACTTATATCTTTGTAGAGTAAAAGTTCCTGCAACTTCAGTCCCGGGAACGTCAACACTTTGCTATTGTAGCCAGAACTCATGATTTGCAGAACATTCCTGAAATATACCATTTCTTTAATTATTATTTGAATAATTAAGTAACGTAACTTGGAATATCTTGTGTAATAAAACTAAATAAATACCTTCTGAAGCTTTGTAAATTACAGAAAAATGCACAAGCTAATATCGGAGGTAATTGCTTAACCAGATGACGAACACAAACGTAGTTTCTTAAGTACCAGGCAAGTGATATCTTTGTGGCTAATCGAATTGCCGGCGATTTTCTGCACAACGCAAGAGATAAAATATGTCGAAGTTTAATGATACTAAAGATTCGTAATGCTTGTATAATTTATATTAATAATCCCTTGAATTCTTCAACATAATACCCCGGCAGCTACCTACTTCAAATCTGACGAAAGCGTGAGAGCCCTTTGCAAGGCCTCGCGATCTCCAATGTGAAGAAGAATATATATAGCTTCCATCTCTGACCGGCTGTCGTTTAATGCTAGTTTTTCGAGATCTTTGTGTACTTCCGTATCATCTGTCGCGTCTTTGAGACTCCGTTGGTCATACAATACGAGCAGCTGCTTAATGCATTCTAACAAATGCTTGCTATTTATCTTTGGGTCGAATTCTGAAATGTCTCTCTCGCACAGCCTGGAAAAAAGAACCCGTTTATTAATCTTCCAACGTTTCCAGGGATATACGTTTGATTAACTCGTACCTCTGTGCAGCGTATACATGAAATCGGACAACTGGTTCCAAAAGAAGAGCACTCGCGGCGATATCGACTCTCTGAATCACCGCATCCTGTCGTACTGATCTCAGTCGATCGAATACGAAGTCGTATATCGACGCCCAATCTAAATCCGTTCGCGTGATTATCCTGAAACAATACACACCGAGTATTACGCACGTAGATCTCGCGACGGGTCATAAGAAACGTTTCATCGCACAAGTGTGAGCCCTGTTTACAATATTAGGATTGGGAAGCAACTCGTTACTTTTAACAAAGTTACAGTTAGTTACTTTTTTCTTAGAAACTCTAACTTAACTTTGTTACTTCCTCTCTGTCTGTGACTGTAACTTGACTCGGTTACATGTTTTCGATAACTAGTAACTAATTTAACAGTTACATCTAAACTTCCACAGATCGCATTAGGCCTTGCATTTGCGCATAGACGCCTTTATCGATGCTTTACAGCTAAAGTGCAGATTTGACATTTTTATTTTCATTGAAAAGAAAGTAACTGCAAAGTAACGATTCGTTACTTTTTTTGAGCAACTGTAACGCGTTACTTTTCAAAATTGGTAGCTTGTAACTGTAACTAGTTACATTTTTAGCGAAAAAGCTGTAACTGTAAATAGATACTTTTATAAAGTAACTTTCCCAACCCTGATATCAGATAGAATATAATCAGATTACATTACATGCAATTTCAATGTGAATTAATAAGACTTATTCACTTACACCAAAATTGCACGGAATCTAACGTAATCTGGTCATACTCTGTTATATTAAACAGGAGTACAGGCGCTTTCTCACAGCGGTAATACTCTTACAGATGAATCATACTTAAAGAGATAGTTGGAATTACTTGGTGAACAAGTATCGGACAGTGGATAGTAATACGCGTGGCGGCCGCAACGAGTTCGGATCCGTCATAACTTGTCCGGCGGCGGAGCGGCTGAAGCATTTTACAGCTTTCGCCGGGTCAGCCCTGGGTCTCTTCGTGTGCCTGGTGTCCTCGTCGGTCTCGTATTTGTGCAACAAGCCCTCCCTCTCTCTCCTGAAAACAATTCCGAGAAGTCAGATTCGCGCCATACAAAAATACACGACGGGCAATCATTTCTTTTCACAGTCGCCGCAAACGACGCGCGTTTTGTTCTTCAACGCGACGGAAACGGGGAGGGTTGTCGCTATCGCGGGAAACTCCACGTCAAGATTCACCGCACGCGTCCCGGAGTTACGGTTTGTAAACCTTCCGCTTCGCGCGCGGACAAACTCACATCCGTCGCTCTTTTTCCGGGCACATGGAGAGGCATCTTCCCGCTATCAGCTCGACGGTCGTCATTGCGCCTCCTCGCGCGCGCTTATCGCCGCAGGATTGTTACTTCAAAGAGGCATGTTATCTCCAGTCGCTTGGAGATCAGCGGAGTCGGGCTGTTACAAACACACGGTGCACGGGGCCTGTTCTTTTTAGCTGAACTTGCTGCACCAGCTCACACGAAGTTTAGCCTTTTGTTTTCTATTGCTGCACCGGTGAACTAGTGCAGTAAGCTAGAAGGAAAAAAATATACACGTCTTACTCTAACTTATTGCTCACTTTTAGCATTTTCACTATATCGTAAGATACAGAACCGATGCCCAGAAAACAACAAGCCTTTTATCCCCTTCCGCGTTGGAAAGAGAAAGATAAACACTCGTCAACTGGTGCAGCAGGTTCAACAACAAGGAACACATACAGGGGCACAGCTCAGGCGAGCCGCGTAAAAACATACAATCTGGCCAATCAGCAGCTCGACTACGTCACGCGCTGTCGCCGCTTCGGATCCGCGATTGGCTGGCCCTTCCGTCGCGACAGGACTGGCCCTCGCGCGGCCAGTCGCGCGCACGCGCACAGCGCCTGTTGTGTAACACGGACAATAACACCGGTTGACACTATTGACAGTCCGCTGACGGCCTACCGTTGACAGGAGTTTCGCCGCGGTCCCGCGGCCGTAGACGCTCCCCGTATCGCATCTCCGCGGCGACGTCGCGCAACGCGTCCCCAATGTGCGCCGCGATGGCGAGGCAGACGCTGGATCCGTCCCCGCGCACGAGGCAGCCGCGGCTCGAGAGTCCGCTGGTGATTCCCGCCAATTCGACACCAGGTGTGCGCCGCGCCCCAAGCGTCGTCGCGCCGTGCCGTCCCGCCTCTGTCGCGAGATCTCGGCCGCGTCTTCCCGCGCGCGGCGCGTCTACCGCCGCGCGGTCGACCCGCGCGAGCGTCGCGCTGCGAAAGTCCACCTAACCTATCGGAACGCCGGGTTCACCGCGGCAACCGTCGAGTTTCCTCCGCGTAGACCTTTCTCGTTTATTTGGCCGGGATCTATCGGACGTGTAAACACGCGCGCCCCTGTCGCGCTCGCTCGACTCGTAAACTCGTACACGTTATACACATGGTTCGGTATTGTCTTGACAATTTGCGAAATGTATTTCAGGATCGTATCGTAACATGGACGTGAGCACCCTGCAGAATTGGCTGAACAGACTGCCGGATGACTGGAGCTCGCCGCAGAGCCCGGACGAGCTTGTCATCCAGAAGAGAGGTCGGCGCAGGTCTATAGTATGGTCCCCCGATCTCGACACCTACAAGCGACGCAGCCTGCTTAGGTATGATTTGCGCTTGCGTTTAAGAAAAAAGAGCCGACAGTGTCCTCGAGGAAGTCTGACGATCTCTTTCTTCGGTCGGTACAGTTTGAGCTCCAAGGACCGCACGCCAGTTAAGAGTCCATCGGCGTCGAACGCGGCGTTGAGGAATACCGCTAGAAAGAGGCTGTCCCTCGTCGATACTCGCCAATCCAGCTTCGCCTCGCCGGAGAGCAGAAAGACGCCGTTGTCCTCTCGAGTGTCGTTGAACGCCGCAAACGCGCCAAGGGAGCAATCCAACGACAATTTGGCGAATGGTCTGCGCAGCCTCAGTCACGAGCAACTTGTGCAATTGATTATGGAGCTGGTGTGCGCGCAGGACAACGGTACGCTGCGCGAGAACGAGAAGCTGCGTAGTGTCCTCTTCAAAAAGATGCCAGTTGCGGATGTTCAGCCATTGATAGAAAAATTAGTTGCCCTGCGACAAAATGTTTATACCAGTCTCGTGTTGGTCCCCAACTTGACCGACGATTCCACTTGTAATCGAGCTCACACGCATCTGGATACGTTTCAGGTTTGTTCATTAGCGAGATGTCTTAATTTCATAGACATTGTCTGCACGAGAGATATTTCTTCTCATTCCTTCTCTTTAGTTATAAGAATTGGACAAATTAATTATTTGACTTTACTCTCGCACTTTATTGCTCAGCTTAGTCAGCGATGGCAGCTTGTTTTATTTCTTCCATTTGTTTCCTTAGAAAACTCTGATTGATCAAGGAAGACTACTGCAGGAATCTCAGCACTGGGCTTCACTGTTGCACTACGTATTGGAAGCATGGAGAATCACCAGAGAATTACTGGAGTGGGACAGCCATGGTTTTCATAAAGTTACGCGACAATGCTTCAAGAGTCTATCGCAGTTTTGCACTGAAGCCATAAGAAGAGGGAATTTTGAAACGTCAGACCTGGAAATTTACATTGAAAGGTATGTGAGATGCAAAGCAAATCTCAACTTTTCTCTGGTCTTCAACAAGATTGTCGCAAACAAGACGAATCTTGCATCAGACTTAATGCAGAATTGGACAATTTGTAAATATTACCTGTTAATTATTTTCAGTCTGAAATCTATAGCAGCAGAATGCGAAGATTTGCAAATCTGTCTACAGACAACGAAGGAAGGAAAGCGGGAAACTTAGGTCTTCTTTCTACCACGTGTATGATAATTTTATTTAAATGTTTTCTGCGTAAGCACACGATGAGCAGTTTGACATGTATCCATAAACAGGATGATATAGAAAATAGAATTCACCAGTGACAGAAATAACCAGTGATAGAGATAACCAGTGACCGAACAATGAAACTGTTACAGATAATTTTTCAAAAATTAAAAATAGAGGGTTTATTTTTATTTTTAAGTAACTCTAAATATCTTGAATCGTCCTGTATATGCGTATACATCGACGCAAACATATGTGTTTTATATTTATATATTTATCCAGTCAACGACTGCGCTTACGTGTACAGACACGTGGAGATAATATATATGAAATATTACTAATATATATTCACTTTTTGACGGTGGCTGATACAATTCGAATTACACTTGATACTCTACTCTCTTTGAATTATTATTATTATTTTGGGCTATCGATAATTTGTATTAACCCACGTGAGGAAAATTTTTTTTAACTTATTGATTGTTGTAGTTAAGTACAGAAATAAGTATATATTAAATTTTCTAATGGAAACGTGTTTATTGGGAGTATACGATAACAAAAGGAAACGAGTAAGATTGCTACTGAAGAATCAGTTGATGCTCAATAGAAAGATTAATCTTTAAGAAGTTAGTTTCATTAATTGATTAGATTTGTTAAAATGTAAATAAGAATTACTTACTTGAAATTTCATCCAGTTTTCACCTTGTCCAGTTGTAACGTTTGCATAAATGGCATCATAATTTCGTTGTAGAATTGTTCGTGTGTGCATTTTTGCAAATATCTTTAGCCTTCTTTTCGCATAAAACAGTGTTACTGAAAGATCCATACTCTATTGTATCTAGATAGATCAAAGACATGTTTCTACGTTAAGCAGCCGAGCACTGTTTTACATTGTACTGTACAGCAGAGTCTTTCTCTATTTATTATAACTTGATATATTTAAGGTATCCTCGAGAGCATTGTATCGCCGAATATTTTTATATATTGTGAAAGTATTTTTTTACACGACCAATGTAACTGCAACTAGCGTTACTATGTATTTATAGAGTAATTGTATTGCATTTATTATAAACCGCCTGACGGGTAATGGACTAACGCGAAAATCCTATTTTTTTATTAAAAACAATTTATTCGTCATAATATATCGTATTTTCTTATATAATCTATCCATTATTACTTTTGAAAGGCACATAAGTCACTTGACAAGCAGTCAGAAATCCTCTAAGCGGCTCGCATTCGCATATATGACACACCTGTATATATATCTATTACAAGGGTACAATAATAGCGATGGTGCTTAGAAAATTCCTGATAGCGGTCTATTCGATCGAGAGACGATCGTTACGATCGACGTCTTGTACATGCCCATCTAAGTATTATATGACATTTCAGGCATCATCGAATCAGTAGTACGGTTGGGCGTAATCGAAACGTATCCTCGATATTTCTTTAGTACCCTATTTACGTTTTTCCATTATGATTGCACATCGTCATTTGAACCGTCATCTCGTATCGTTCATCGTGTATATCGGCAAGATTACGTTACACGTCGCTTTAGGAACAGTTCGAAAAAAAATATCGGAGATCGAAAGCGAAATCCGCGAGACTCCGACAATACATATCAAAATATATCCTGGGCAAGTAAATGTAACAACATAATCTGACCTCATCTAAACTTGAGCATTTAGGTGAAGCAAATTAAAGCGATTAAAACTCGTGAAACCAATGCTCGCGCGTAAATCACAGAATAGCTCAAATCGGTAAAAAAAATGGACATATAGCATTTCTTTGTGAAATCTCGAAACAATCGCTCTTAAGGAATGTATCGCGCACAATCTTTGTTTTCTCACAACTTGTTAAATCCGGACATTCAGTATCTTAAAAACTAAATCTCAAATTGAAATTTTGTACAAATACAAAGACAAAAGTAAAATACATTTCACGTTAAACAACGAGCATTTCGTTGTTCAATATCCCATTATTTATTGCTAAAACTGAACTTATTACAGAGCGCGAAACCCTTAACAAAAATTATCTCGAAATTTCACAAGGATTAAGGCGTGCACTTTTGCCAATCTCAGAAAAGTCTATACACTAAAAGATATTTTTCAAAACAAAAATCACAATCTCCGAATAGTTCACGTTAAAAACACATAATAAAAATGATTTGATGATTTACGAGTGTAAATAAGAGACATGAGACATCTCTGAATTCTTAACTAAACTTTCGAACAGAAAGTTGAGTTGAGAATGTGTATGTGCAGCTATAAATTGGGACGAATGCATTAAAATCCGCTGGACATCCGGCCAATAGTTGTGCAATCCGTTATTAGAACGTCTGTCATATGTAAAACGTGCGGGGAGAAAGAGTCATTGGGAAATGCATTGCCATGTTTTATGCATCGTCAATAATTACGGGTGACGTGTGTCTGCATGATCGTTCAGCTCGCGGATTTATGGCAAGTCGTAGCCGTCCGCCGATTAAATTCCACGATGACGCAATCTCATTTTACAAACTATAAGAAAAAAATGACGTACGCTGTAATTAAAAGATTACTACATTGTTAAAAAATTGGGTAGACTCCCGCTTCGCGATATCCGTATCCGCTCGGATGGCAATTACTATTAAATAACGCTACTAATGTGCCTATGTATCGTGTTATAACAATTAACGAGATAAAGCTGCAAATCGAATACTGTGGTAATCATCGGATATTCTGCGAGCATTTTTAATCAACCGCTTTCGCTGGCTGCACTCTGGGATATAACTGAAACATACAATGCAACATTTTTTATGCCTCGCATTATAATTAGCAGAAATATTTTTAACGCAAAGCACACAGTATTTTGTACTATAATAAATCTCCTAATATATTTTTATACATTTTATACCTGAAAATTATCTTGTACACTGATAAAACATATCTTAATCAAAAAAATATTATTTTACTTAAGAAAATTATTCATTAGGTAGCTCCTAATAGCTTAACTTAAATTTAAAAAAAGAATAAATTAATTAAAACGCGCATTGCTTTAATTTAAGTATTTATTAAATATCAAAGAATAACTAATTTAAAATTTAAAAAAATTTTATTTTAATTCTATAAAATGTTTACTAAGATGTAATTTTTACAGCGAAGAAAATTGGATTTCTTATTTGACGAAAACAATGATTTTATTTAATAAATAGTATTCTATATCTCATGAAATCTTTATTTGAATGTAGAAAATGTAATGATTTAAATTAATTTACTTGAAATTTGATATTTATATTTAAATAGAATAAATATTTACTTCAGTAAAAATATAATTTTAAATAAATCTATTTACTTAGTTTAAATAAATATTTTTGTCCGAGTGTTTATAAAAATATTGTTTACGCTGGATTTTATCTAAAATTATACAGTTTTATTAATTGGATGTTGAATCTGAAATTCATTTTTCCTTTATAAAATTTTGCATTTAAAATTTAGTTTTTACATCTACAATATATATTAACATTTAGCAATCTGCTTTTCAATATTCACGTAAAGCCTATACTTTCCAAAGAATTTTATATTTTGATGTAATTTATTACAAAACAAATGTATTTTCGCGATATCTCGCGCAACTGGGAAAGTTATTGATTTATTTAGTCAGTCGCGCTTACCCCCAATAAATTTCGAGGTACATAGCCTTCTTTATGTCCGAGTTTGCTCCACCACCAGTCCCGTTCGTTATCATCCCCCTTCCGAAGTACGACTACGGAGTCGCCGTTCTTCAGCGAGAGTTCGTCAGCGTGTTGCGCCTCGTAATCGAAAACCGCGTATACCTGACCGTTATTCATGATCCCCAATTTTTCTTGAACACCTGTGTGTCAAAAAGAACAGATTTTTTTAACAAATGCATCCTGTTATTACAACCGGTTTTAAGTTTCGCTCCAATGACACTGACTATACAAGTACTCCGAGCATCCGTCAAACCCTTCTTCGTCCTCTTCGCACTTTTCCGCAGCGGTTTCGTGATCCGAAAGGGTAGTCGCGAAAATGCAGGCACCGTGTTCGACCAAGAATCTCACCATGGACAGATTGTTGCAACTGGCAGCGCAGTGTAACGGCGTCCTTCGTGACAAAAAATTAAATTTATGTAAATGCCTATAGTCGGTTTTAGATATTTCGACTAAAGTAATAATTGTTTAGAATATAATACATGTTGCTAGACAAGCATTTTATATTTCCGAATTCTAATCTTTTCTAAATTTAACGATGACTTTTTCTAATTAATTTTCAATCAGATTTCTCTCAAGATTTTGTCGAGGATATCTTTTATCGAAATTTTTCAATCTTTAACATTACTTTTATAATAAAGCTTTGAGTAAAATTTCAATCGAGTAAAACTGTTTGAAATCACACGTGAAAAATATGATTTTGCTCATCCGTCTTTGTTTAACAAATTCTCTTTTACGTAGAAAACAATCTGTTGCATTGAATTTACCATCCATCGCTGTCCTGGGCGTTGACATCGCAGCCGAATTCCACAAGAAATTTGACGATCTCAAGGTGACCGGCGCATATAGCGTTGTGCAAGGCGGTGATGCCTTCGTCATTGGCGGAGCTCGGATTGGCGACCTCTTTCGCGGTTTTCTTTACGAGCTCGAGTTCTCCCTCGAGACTAGCGTCGAGTAGCAGCGCCAGTGGGTCGAACGACACCCGCCTGGACAGATTGACCTTGCCACCTCCACCTCCCGTACTCGACGACTTGAGATTTCCCTTCTTTCGCCTCATTACCTCCGATATCTTGCCTCCGTCTATCTCTATTTCACCTCCTGTCCCACCGGTCAATTCCGAATCGGTCTTCATCTTCGTCGGCTTATCCTCTATATTGATGACATTCAGAGCGTCAATGATGTCCGCTTCCTCCAGCCTCTCGCCGTCGCCGATATCGTCGCTGATAATGTTCTTGCAATTATCCGTGGTGTCGATGGTTTGCTGCTGATGTTGCTGCTGCTGCTGTTGCTGTTGTTCGGTCTGCATGAGATCCGCCGGGATTTCTGTCTCCGGAAACAGAAAGGCCGGGGGCATCTCAATTCGTCGATTTATCGACACGTGGACATTGGATTTGGCGTATCTCAGCTTGGGTTGCTCCGATATCGGTACTTTCTTCAGCGTCAACGGCCGAGCCTTGATAATTTGATGATTGGCAAGCTGCGTCTCCGTGGGAGATTCAGGCGGTTCCGACGTAGGAATTGGCGGTATATCCTCCTCCTTATCCGACCTGCGAGTTCACAAAATCGAATTTAGAAATAGAAACATCAATATTGTATTGCGTTATCATTACATGAACGAGCCGAGAGCGGCAGTCGTAGCTAATTAGATTAAACAATTTTATTTCCAGTGTAGATAATGTGTTAATTTTCAAGAAATAATTGTCGAGAGAAATCGCCCTAAGACTTACGATTCCTTTATCCACTGTGGCGACAGGGAAACCGAATATAATTTGCAACGCCGAAGCCCTATCCGATATTTTGTGAATCCCGAATAACCGTGTCGATTTGTCGCACGGCTGCACACAAGTCACAAGGGGCGCGCAAATAAAAACTACGATGAAATTACACGATTGTATCTGCAATCTGGCTGTCGCTCGATGTGTCTATCAACATCAACCGTCCAACGGACAGGTGTTACTAACAGCCGCGTAATTGAACATCGATTCGCGACTAATCGTGCACGAAATCGTCGTCTGGCAAACGCAGACACGTTAATCGTGTGTATCACCGGCGTGTACTGATCGGAGAACTCGCGAACACTAAGAGGAGCGCGGGCTCATGTCGTCTCCGCGGCACACGGAGCCGCGGTTCTATTTCGGTGTCTATTATTCGAGACAGGCTTCGATTCACTGGCCAAATCGATCGCGAACTAATTAACATTTATAATTAACCCGGTAATCGTTTTGTCATTCCGCAGTTCGAGTCCGCGCGAATTGCTCGATGAATTCCTCGATGATCTCGTAACTCGAAAAAGGGTGTGAAGAGAAATGCGTCAAGTGCTTAAGCGGATTTACATTGTAACACGAACGGAGACCCTTCGTTAGACGAGCGAGATTTAAAAATATTCAAATAAAATATTTGGCAATCATATGTAAAAGTATTTTTAATGGCGCGCAATTCTTTTGAAGGTATTTAAAATTGTATAGCTTGTTTGATTTGTACACAAGACATCGAGATCAAAAAATCGATTTAAATGTTGAAACTTTCTCTTCAAAACTCCTTTATGGTGACAACATTCGCAACATAAGGAGACGTTATTCCAAACACGCAGTATATTTCAATTGACGAGAAGCTCAGTAAAAGGAAATAATTCGTAAGGTCCACTACACGACCTCACATCTAATTTCTTTCTACACAAGACTTTCATTTAAAAATCGAAAACGTATACGAACCTTGAGTTCAGATTTGCGTTAGTCATCTTGCACTCGTTGATCCCTTCGGACGACGGCACGTCGATCTTCTCGTGATGAGTCAATCTTGGTGGCGGATTCGGTTTGCTCGGTTTCGGCGGCAGTGCCGGTTTCATTTTATCCTCCATTCGCGGCTCGTTGAAATTCTTCCTTTCGCCGTCGCCGCTCTTCGTCACCGGTCTGTCGAATTCGAATGGTCTGTCCGGTGTTTTCGCGGGGATCTCGAACTTGGCGGCCACATGATCGACCGCGTGTTTCGTCGCGGAATTTGGTTCGTATTTGGCCGACACCATCTCGAATTTGCTCTGGCCGCTGCTCTCGTACTTGTTCGACTCAGACTTATACTCCGGCTTATACTGGCTGCCACTCGAAGGGTCGTGCTTGAATGTTGAATTGTGATCATACTTGTTCGGCAATCTTCCCTCGTGCTGTTGCTGCTGCTGCTGTTGCTCGTGTTTGGCGTACTGCTGCGAATTCTGACAACCAGGCTCGTATTTAACATTGTGCAGATGCTGATCGTGTTTCGCCTGACTTGGATCGTGCTTGCCGCCTTGTTGTTGGATCTCGTATTTGCCCGTAAGATTCTGATCATACCTCAACTGCTGCTGCTGCTGCTGTTCGTGCTTATTGCTAGGCAGTAACGCGTGTTCAAACTTGTCTTGACTCTTACTTGGTTCGAATTTGGTTTTCTGAGTGTTCAGTATTTGATCCTGGCTTTGCGCGAGATCGTTAGAACTCAATACCTGCGACGACTGGTTATACTTTTGAGAAGAATTGCCAAAGGTCGTCGCGGTGGTAGCAGCGCTATGAAGACCAACGAGATTCGACGAACTCTGAATCTGATAGACGGCCGCCGGAGAAGATGTGTGAATGCTTGTCGTTTGATTTGGGTATTGCTGCTGCTGCTGCTGCTGCTGTTGCTGCTGCTGCTGTTGAGTAGAGTAACCATGTCTGTAATTCGCTTCTTGATTCCCAACGTTGGATTGCAGCTGTGCACTTGCCGCCGCAACCAATTGTTGATTATTGCCGATGTAGTTTTGCGGCGCGTTGTTGTGTCCGCGACCCAACAGGCTCAATGTCTGCGGCATAACCGGGTGGATCTTGGTCGAAGAGGTCTGATAGATCTGCGACTTCACCGAGAAGCTTGGCGCCACGCTCGACACTGGTTTCTGATGACCGCCCACGGTCTGCTGCAAATTTCGATGTTGATTTTGCGTGGTTTGCACAATCGACGGAACGGTAACACCGACGAGATTCGACGTCGTCGATGCACCGCCAATGCCGGTCACATTGTGCTGCTTCTGCTGGAGATTGCCATTTTGATGCTGTTGCTGCTGTTGCGTCTGCTGCTGGTGCTGATGGCCCTGGTGAAGACGAATACCTTGCGACAGATTGTCCGGGCTGAAGCTGTGCCCAGTGTTACAGATGTTATTGTTGTTGTTGTTGTTGTTATTGTTATTGTAGTTGCAACTTGACTGGATCGTCGCGGGTTGATTGCTGAGATTTTGATTGTGCTGCTGTTGCTGTTGATTGCTTCCTAGTAATTGAGATTGCCCTAAATATTTTAGATGGCAATTAGATTCGCGTTCAAAATCACATTTATATTTATCGATGAGATAACAATTTTATAGCGTTTACCAATATTGGAAATTCTCGAGTATTTACAGTTGCAAAATTATCTCTTCAACAAAGAAAAGATCTCAAGTAATTTTGAAAGTTTTAAATAATTACGTGAATAATGCGTAGTGTTAAAAATTTTACATCTTATAAGCGAACGAAAGTACTCACCCTGAATGTGCGATTGCGACTGGCTGTGAACGATTTGGTGCCCGTATTGCTGAAAGGTCGGCCGCTGTCCCAACTGGGAGGCGCTCGCCGAGTGCTGTATTTTATTTTTGTTCACGTCGTCCTCTATAGCCTTGAAGTTCATCGTGAACTTGGTGTTGTATGGCAGTGTCTGGTACTTGGGGTCGTTTTTGTTCAGGTTGAAATCGTTGTCGTTCGGTATGTGCGAATACGGCTCGATCGCGGCGATGTTGCCGGCCGGTCTCAGCTTACCGCCGTTGTTGAAGCCGTCGAGCTTCGTATCCGGGAATCCTGTGTTGTTAACGCCGCCGCCGCCGTTAGGACCCACCTGATGCGTCAATCGTTGATTCAACGCTCTCTTGCGCTGGAGACGACTCTGGAGTTGAGCTATTCGCGCGTCTATCGACGCCATCTCAGCCTGCCGTTGCGCCAAGGCCTGCCGTTGTTGGGACACCACTTGATTTTGTTGTTCGTTCATTTTGTTGCGATACTGATTGGGAAAACAGAAATTGGCATTCTTTATTGCGACTTTTCCTTACATATCTTACAGTACGCTCGAAATGTGCGCGTGAAAACGTTGCTATGACTGACTCATTTTTATCAATGTATACTCATAGACACACGTCAGCGCCAACAGATACTGCTATAATTGAAAATTACAAAAAAAATAATGCGCCAACTGAAATTTCGTTGAGGTAAATCCTCCTCAAATTAAATAATTAAGGTGGCAAAAAGGCCATTTCAAAATAAGCTGAAAATTATCAGTATCCCGGCATCTGAGAAAAAATGAAGACTAAAGTCGGATTTGAATTCAAAATAACGTCGCGTAGCCGCTTTCCACGCGTTCTGGGAAAGCGGCCTGTAAATATATAATAATTGATCTGTATTTGCAGCCAATTAGCGTGGCGTTGAAAATGAGACGGACACGGCGATGTTCCCATGCGAGCGCTTTCGCGAGAGACAAGGCCGGTCCTCTCGAGACCCTAATCGATGGCGCGAGAGCTTACCATAAGCTCCCTCCTGAGTTTCTCCAGTTCGGCGCTGGCCGGGGTGACCAAATGCCCGTTACCGGTGGCACCCGTGAGGCTGCCCCCGATGCTGCCGGCGCTTCCACCTCCGGCGGGGGCATTTTGACGACCTCGGAGTTCCTCCAGCTGCCGCGTCAGCTCCTCGACCTTCGCCACGGCCAACGAGAGTTCCTTCTCCTTCTCGTTGAACAGGGCCCTGATGCAGTCCAGATCGGAGGCTACGAACGGGAGAGCGGAATAATGAGAATAAAACAAGGACAATGATAACAGCAAAGATGATCAAAATAACACGCGCTAAGGAAGCGAGGAGAGAAACGAGAATGATACAAGTGGGGGATACACATTTTGCGAGAAACCATACAACGATGAAAGATCCTTGTCGATGTTCCTGTGCGAGATCTAACACTAACCCAGTGGTATTATTTATCACATTCGGGCTGTCATTTTTCATTTCTAGCAATTTGGGAAAGTATCGCTCATTCGCAGTCGTATTAATTGCTTATTGTTTAATTTGACGTGTACGTACTCTCACGCCCTCCGTTTCTACGCTTCATCTATCTTCATTAAATATATATATATATATATATTGACACGTAAAAGTTTTAAAATCTAGATGATATTACTGCGAGAGATGCATCGTTATGACATACATCGGATATTGATGCAGGGAAATGAGCTCGATACCACGTTTACGTGGCCTTTGACATTCGATATAATAAATTGGGGCCCCCGGGGGGGTACACACCCTCCGCGCCCAGCACCAAAGGACGCTACGAAAACACGCGCCAGGGGATGACGTCGTATTAACGGGCGCATTAATCATCGCCGGGTGACTTATCCGAGGGCGATACACTTTCGTGGGATTCCATCGGCTGGTATCTCATCTTAAGCGGCGAGGTGCGCGGCGGCGTCTCGTACTTCGTATCAGATTAGAAAGTTATTATACGTGCGCGATGGACCACTAAACCAACCACATATTGCTACACGGAACTCCGTATTGGCCGTACAGAGCGATCTGCTGTGACCTGGAATTCCATTATCGAATTCTGGATTGGTACCCGGTCGACTCTCTGAGCACTATCTATCTGCCCAGGAACGGCATCCTTTATGGTCTTTCATTACTTCCTGGTAATCCTATGGCCGTTGTCGAAATTGTCAATGCGATTCTAATTTATACGAAACCGGTTAATGGACATTTCCAATGCATCCGGCTCAGCAGGTCGGTAAGGTCTTTGAATGATAAGCGGATTGTAATTCAAATATATCATATATATACATCGACATTAATTCTTTCAGAATATAATTTTCCAAGAAATGAATTTATTTCCGCTTTACATAAGCGGCTCAGAATGAGACACTTGGTGAAGCAAGTAATTAATAAGAAATAAAAATATTTAGAAGGAAAAACTCGCCTTTTCTTTAATTACTCCCTTTAATTTCGTTTACTCGTTTAAAATAATCGTGCTATTCAGAAGCAGCGAGTAGCGCGAATCCCTTCCGAGCGCATTGTTTCGACTAACTGCTCCGCAAAATGGAGAATCAATGAAATTTCAAAGTTAACTTTTGCTAATTCTCCGACGGCGCTGCTGAGATTTCAAGTTGCGAGGAGCAGACCGGCCTTTGCATACCGAATAGATGATTTGGCTCGACTTCCTTTTGTGTTACTTGTCGACTACAGTCCGTTAAGCCATCGGCATCCCGATCGGCATTTTTGCCAATTGGCATAGATCGATCGACACGTGTTCACTTATATGGCAATGAGTTTGCCGATCGAATGGACGATTAAAGCAATGGAGAGGGGAGGAGAGAGAGAGGGGAGGAGAGAGAGAGAGAGAGAGAGAGAGAGAGAGAGAGAGAGAGAGAGAGAGAGAGAGAGAGAGAGAGA